TCCACGCGCATCGCATAGCTGGGTGATGCTGTGATCGGCCTCGTGCCTTTCTGAACTCTGTGATTAATGGGATGAGCAAAAAGGATTTCTTTTTCCTTGTGAAACAATCTCTTATTTTATTTGGCTTTTCACCATCCAAGTACTGGGGATTCCTAGAATTTCTCTTTCCTGGCCGTTTGGGAGCTGTTCTGCTAACTTATTTTTGCGCCAGTCTGCTGGAACAGGGAGCAATCCTGCTAATTTGTTTGCTTCCTTCTTCCTGCCCTTTCTCTTGGTGTTTTTATCCCAGCTGCTCCTGCGTTGCCTGCAGGCGCAGCCCGGGTCGTGCTCTGCCCTTGGAGCTGTGTTCCACCCCAGCGTGGGGTCCGCTTTGGCTCCGTGCGGGGCTGGGGCGATGGCTTGCTCGAGCCCAACGCATCGTCTCACCCGGTGCGCCGGAGCGGCTGGAGGCACATCATCAGCAGTCTATTTATGTTAGGAAATCAGCTTTTGTGTGCTTCATGATTGATTTTGGTTTTTTTCTTTTTCCTCTTTGTGCTCGAGGAGGGTTTGTATCTGGCGCTGTGAATGGCCCGCAGTGTCTCAAACCCTCCGGAGCATTCTTGCGCTGTGGATGTGGCCCACGCCTTTCAGCCGAACAATACATGCTCAGACTCCCCCTTTTGTTGCTGCGCTGCTAAAAACACGAGAGCGAAGCCTGCCAGGTCTTCCTGCCTGCCTGACCGTCTTGCTCTCCTCTGAAAGAGATGGGGGGGTGTTTGCCCCCGCGGGGAGGCATTACAAGACACCCCCCCCCCCGCCTCAGCAGGGGCTGCTGCTTGGCCCCCTTGCAGGCAACTTTTTGCCGTTGCATGACAGTGCCCCGGCTGCCTCTGAGGAAGGGGAGGTGTTCTCCGTGCGTCTGAAGGAACGTCGGACCTTGCTCTGGTTTGCAGCTTAAGTTTTGGGTTTCTTCTTGGGGTGACTTGTCTTCAGCTTAGGAAGTCTGAGAGCGATGGCTTTTTATAGCCCATCAAAGCTGCATGCTAACATAGCCACAAGTACAGAAAGAGCTTTCCTGCCTCATTTTTTTTTTTTTTTTTTTTTGGGTAATAAAATAGTATTTCAGAAGACAAACATTTCCAGGAGTTGCCCTGCAGGTAGCTGCCTGCATCAGAGATTTCAGCAGAGGCAGAGCACCACGATCCAAGCAATGCTGGCAGCTCTCGCCAACTTTAGCAAGTGCTAAAGAGCAGATGCACCACTAAAGAACAGCAGATGCACCGCTAAAGAACTGCAGATGCACCTGCAGCTCTGACCACAGCTCAGTTGATCGGCGTATCATGAAGTCTACACGTGTATGTGATAACAATTTGTTTTAAAACAGTGTTGCACGTGTTGACACTGGGTCTCTCCCAGTCCTGCTGCCCGGGAGCTCTCTGCTCATCCCTCTGCACGCTCTCTGCCAAGCCGAGCCGGGATGGTCATGGCGATACTCTCAGCTGAATTTGTCAAGGTGATTCCTTTATGTTTCATTTCATCTTCCTCTGTCGCTGGGCTCTGCGTGGCTGGTGCATGACCCGGCGCAGAGGCCACTTGGAAACACACAAAGTCCTTTTTTGAAAAGCCTGAGAAGTGACCTGCTGCTGCTTTTAGAGGCTCTCATTTCTGCTTCTCAGCTTGTACAGTAGCATGCGAGTGAGTAGCTTTGAAGTTCGTTTTCCCCTGGCGCTGTTTTGTGTCGCTCAGACCCCTTTCGGAAGGCCCCTTTCTCGGTCAGGAAGCGCTATCTGATGTGCCTGCTGTCAAGCCCAAGCAAGCAGTCGCTGTGCTTTAGTTGTCGGCCTGGCTTGGGAAGCAGGGGCCGCGCAGCTGCCGCCTCGTCTTCCTGCTATTTCTCTCCCCGCATCTTCCTTTCTATTTGATGTGCTGGTTTCCAGTTTAGTTTGTGTTGCTATTTCGGTATGACTGCGTGGTGGCCCTCTGGCTCGCCGCAGCAGTGCCCTGTCTTAAAATCCACCCTCTGGCACGTTGAGGGGCTGGCTGGGCTGCGGGAGCATCCGAGGGGACTTTGCTCGGTTGGTCCCCGAGCTGCGGCACCGCGGCCGAGGGGTGCACCAGGGAGGCCCCTCTCCAGGGCTGCATTTCGTGTTGCTAAACTGCCTTGAGATGGCTGGGCTTTTTCCAGATGGAGCAGAAAGCGGGGGGAAGAACGTGGCAGGGGGAGGAATCAGTTCTCTTCCTCCGTATGAAAGGAGCTGGTGGAAAAGGGAAGTGTGTTTAATTTTGTGGAGTTTGGGAAGCCTTGGTTTTTTTTCTCACCTTATGAGTTTGGAAATTATTTGAGCAGAAGATGCCATAAACCCCAAGGAACCAGGAGCCATGTTCGTGCCTTTGTAAAATTGCAACTAATTTTGAGAAAAGCGAATATTACTTTTCTTTTTTTTTTTTTTTTTTTTTTTT